TTTTTTTTTTTTTTTTTTTTTTTTTTTTAACTTCTGCCTGTTTTATTTCCGATATGGTCATGTTATTAGTGTGCTCGCTAGTGGGAGGTTTGTAAACATTAGCACATGTCGACATGTTATTGATAGAACCGGTTCGTTCGAGTGACCTTGCTAGTGGGGGTTATACATAAGCAAATAGTGTAGCCTGCCAGTGGGAGGTTTATAACACTGGCCATGACCTATAGAGGAGATGTCTATTTCGTTCTCGTACTGTATCCGTTTTTCGTGATTACACTTGTTGCCATGCTATAAGTTTAAAAAGGGGCACTCCATATTTACTTACTGAGTTATCTCATAGTTTTTCCTTGTCCACCATTTCAGGAAGCAAAGTCAAGGACGGGGAAAAACGGGAGGAGTAACGAGTTAGAAGGCTAGTCATCTTGTAAATTTGATATAGATTTTAGATATAAATCATGATCTTGTAAGTTAGATTTTAATTGGAGATTTTATAAATTCATTGAATGGATTGTTAGTTTACAAAAGATTTGACCTTGAGATTTTGAGTTTAAGTCAGGTTGGACATAGAATTATTTTGAAATATCTTATTTAAGTTATTGGATTGTCAGATATGAATTGGATAAGTTCCGAGCCTTGTGCATTTGTGGGACCCTCTCACGAGTGCACGGCATTTGTTACGCCTCGGATTTGGGTTCTGAGGCGTGACACAGGTTATGGCATGCTATCTGGATGGAGCACACATGGGAAGTTGTCATGCCCTTATTGGATGGAGAACACTAAGATTTTTCAACTTCAATATGGGAGGAAAACATCATTTTTTGATTGTCATCATCAATTTCTACCTCCTAAACATCCATTTCGTAGAGATAAGAAAATTTTTTATCTTAATAGAATTGAAAAAAGCCATCCCCTCCCGAAGACTAGATGGTACTTTGATGGAAGAAAGGGTTAATCAGCTCATTGACATAGTCTTTGGCCAACAACTTCGTAAACATTCAATTGCAAGATTTGGTGTTTTTCATAATTCGGTGAAATGTAGTATATTTTGGGAATTGCCATACTAGAATGATTTATTGATTTGTCATAACCTTGATGTCATGCATTGTGAGAAGAATTTTTTAGATAACATTAAAAATACTGTCATGGATGACAAGGGTTGTACGAAGGATAACACCAATGCTAGATTGGATCTACAACTGTATTGTAATAGATTTGAATTAGAATTGATACCTTAAGATGATGGAACACCTATAAAACCCAATGCTATATATGTTCTTACTCGAGAGGAACGAGCTCTTATTTGTTAGTGGCTGAAGGAATTGAGATTCTCAGATGGGTATGCATCCAACATAGCACAATGTGTTAACATGCAGAAACTTCGATTGTTTGGGATGAAAAGCCATGATTGTCATGTATTCATGCAGTGTCTTTTGCCAATTGCTTTCCGTGATTTCCTCATAGATGAAGTTTGGGGTTCCTTAATTGAGATTAGTAACTTTTTTAAAACTTTAACTGCTGCGATTATTCAAGTTAGTAACATGAAGATGTGGGAGGAAAAAATTGTTGAGACCATTTGCAAGCTAGAGAAAGTATTCCTGTCAGCATTCTTTGACTCGATGGAGCATTTGGCTATCTATCTACCATATGAGGCAAAAGTTGGAGGACCTGTCTAATTTCGTTGGATGTATCCTTTTGAAAGGTATATTTCTTCTAATATATTTTTACATCACAATAACATTCATGAGCATATTTAATAATTTAATGTTATTAATTAATTTTCTTATTTGTTTAATATAAAAATGCATGACCTTAAGAAAACAATGTTGAACAAAAATTGTGTTGAAGCTTCGATTTGCGAGTCTAATATTCTTTCAAAAATTACCTTCTTTTGCTCGCATTATTTTGGATTTGACATAGAGACAAGATTGAATTGTCAACCAAGAAACATTGTCGACGTGAATGATGATATTGATAATTGTTTGTCTGTCTTTAAACATCGAGGTCAACCATTAGGTGGAGAAATGCGTATGCGTGCATTGTCACCCAAAGAATTAAAGGCAGTAAAACTTTATGTTTTTCTTAATTATGAAGATGTTAATCCATGGATTGCGTATGTTCTCTAGTTCTAACTTTCATTTGTTTAAGTTACTAGTATGTATAGATTGTTTACTCCAACTTCTTTATGTAAGCTTTTTGATTATGAAGTATGTTCTGGTTTATCAGACGATCAAATTCAAATCAAACGGTAACTTGAATTTATTCTTTGGTTTAAGACAACGGTAAGTAATTTATTTTAATAATTTTTATTATTAAGATCTCAATTTTTATTATTAAGATATCAATTTTTATATATTTTAGGATTAAATATTAAATATTTTTATAA